AAAAATGTTCACTCTATCCCACAATGTACCGTGTTATCTTATCATACAACTGTTTCACGTTAGTTATAGGATTTTCTATCTGTCCCAGGGGCTACTGGACACTGTTTGATTGCATTGTATCTAGGGATTTCAGAAAATTGGAATCAAGAGTCCTGACAGCACATTTCAAGCTCAACTTCCACATGATTCCATTTTGCGTCCTTAAATCAGAGTATTTTGAAATTGTCAGGTCCCAGCCTCTTGGCAGACTATTGTCTCATTTTTGTGGTGGTGGGGGGAGCTCCTTGCTTGGAAGAATCACAAGCAAGGCCAGTGCAACGGAGTGATGGGAGTGATCGCAAACAGGAAGCAATTCCACACAAACAGCTTTCTTCAGCTTTCATAGAGGAAAAGAAGGAAACTATACAAAGCAAAACTACATTCCGGAGAGAGGAACAGGTCAGCTCCCCAGTAGAGAAAGACGTTGAGAATTCCCAGGTGGTTTCTTTTTACTGGCCTGGTCTAGGGAGGGCCTACTGAAGGTGAGGTGTTACCAGGTGATTGGTGTACAGGAATGACAAGTGTTCTGCATTTTCCTGCAGTCCTCTTCCCTGATTGGACTCTGGCTTCTCTGCCGCTAAAAACAGCCCCGCCCCCACCCCGCCTGCATCTGCCACGTGCATATTTGGTCCACAACTAACAAAAGCCTAACTCATGTAAATAAGAGGATAAAATTGCAACTATTTCTTTTTAAACTGTTGTATTAGAGTAACCTCTGTAGTAAAATGCTCGGAATACTACCGAAAAGGTGGTATGGTGAGTTCTTTTGGACTGTTGTCATAGGAAATTTTCATTAGTGTATCTTCTAGCAAAGAGACCAAATCTCTAGAGTTATGTTTTGATCTAAAACAGTTTCTGATTCAGTTGGTATGTCCAGGGTAATAGTTACAAAACAATTTTTCATTAAAAAAAACTGAATAATTGGCTTGGCTCCTGTAGCTCAGTCTACAGTGCCAGCCACATACACCAGGGCTGGCGGGTTCAAACCAGCCTGGGCCCGCTAAACAAAAATGACAACTACAATAAAAAATAGCCAGGCGTTGTGGTGGGCACCTGTAGTCCCAGCTACTTGGAAGGCTGAGGCAAGAGAATTGCTTAAGCCCAAGAATTTGAGGTTGCTGTGAGCTGTGGTGCTACAGCACTCTACTGAGGATGACATAGTGAGAATCTGTCTCAAAAATAAAAACAGAACTGGATAATTATGCTGTTCATTTTGCTGTCAGCTCTGTATTACTGGTACCATGTAAATGAACAAAGGGTGGCAAATCAACTCTCTTCAACCAATGTGCAAACTTTTTTTTCAGCTAGATAACTTGTCGTGGTTATTTAAAAGCCTTTACTGTCTCAAAGTGAATTGCTTTTACAGCCTTGAAAACATACATCTTCCATGAAAGCAGCTCTGTGAGTCCTGGGAATGAACTACATGGTTCTCTCCTACTCTGGTTCCCATATATCCATTTCCAGTCTGACACCCTTGGAAGAGCCTCCATGTGTCATTGCTGATGGTGCCTGCAGCTGCAGGAAAGCCGTTGTCCTTTTTAATTTTAATTTTTGTAGAGATACGGTCTCACTATGTCCTCAGGCTGGTCTTGAACTCCTGGCCTCAAAGGATCCTCCCATCTCAGCCTCCCAAAGTGCTGGGATTACAGGAGTGAGCCACTATAACTGGCCTACCACTATCTTTGTCAATGGGGATTCTAAGTGACATTGGTCATCAATCCCTTACAAAGAGGGAGCATGGAGGTTGGGCTAAAAAAAAGTCAAGATGGAGAAAATCTTCTCCACTCTGTATCACACATTGTCATCTGGGCCCCAAATTAGCCTTGCTTGTGTGCAGTCTTACAAAGTTGGTCTTGGGCAGCACCTGTGGCTCAGTGAGTAGGGCGCTGGCCCCATATATCGAGAGTGGCGGGCTCAAACTCAGCCCCAGCCAAACTGCAACAAAAAAATAGTCAGGTGTTGTGGTGGGCGCCTGTAGTCCCAGCTACTTGGAAGGCTGAGGCAAGAGAATCGCCTAAGCCCAAAAGCTGGAGGTTGCTGTGAGCTATGATGCATGGCACTCTACTGAGGGCCACAAAGTGAGAC